GCAGGGGGCAGGGCCAGATCATGTGGTGCCTTTAAGTCACGGAGTCAAGTGTTTGGGTTTTGTGCCAAGCCCTTTGTAAAGCCGGTGGAGGGCTTTAAGTATAAGAGCAATAGGATATAAGTTATGTTTTTTTTTTTTTAAAGATTTTATTTATTTGTCAGAGACAGAAAGAGAAAAAGAGAGAGCACAAGCGTGGGGAGGGGCAGAGGGAGAAGCAGGCTCCACATTGAGCAAAGAGCCGGATGTGGGACTTGATCCCCGGACCCTGGGATCATGAGCTGAGCCGAAGGCAGACACTTAACTGACTGAGCCACCCAGACACCTATAAGTTATGTCTTGCAAAGCTCTCTCTGGCTACTCCCCCATGGATTATAGGGTGGACTGGAGGAAAGCTGGAGTAGGGCTGAGGAGGTGGGCTGAGAAAAGCCTGGCTTAAGTCCTGGTGAGAGGAAATGATGCCTGGAACCAGACCAACATGAAAACGTCACTCGGTTGTGACACTAATTTGGAAGGGGGTCCGTGAATGCTTAGGGTTTGGCTGAGAAGGGGCCATATCGCTAGTTCCCTGGAAAGAAATGAAGACAGTTACTGATTCTTGCCTCGGTAGTTAGGTATAGTCTTTGTCCTTTGGGAACCTGAGGAGGTTTGTCTCTGTTGTGGATTTTTAGGGAAGTCGATCTGGCATTCACGCCCTTCCCACATACTTTACATGGGCTTTTACATGGGCTTTCCTTCGTGCCTTGCCAACATTCCCCTTGGGAACTTAGGACCTTGATCTTTAAGTCCTGAAATGTACATTTGTGAGTCTGTGTGTGTTAGAGCAAATTCTCCTATAACAGGCACAGAATGACCGCGTATCACCTTTCTTATCCTCTGTGTTGACATAATCATCGCTTTACTCGAACATTTTCCACAGGGTCCTCTGTATGTCTGGCGTTGCTTTGGTAGGATAAGGAAATGTCCAGGGTCAGTGTGGTTACTTTTGTCCTCAGAGAAGAGACCAACTTCCCACAGGATAGAGGAGAGAACCCAGGCAAAACCTTAACGGTCTTATAAAATTTAAGTTCCTACCATTCACTCATTTAGTTTTGACACCTCAGTTATGATATCAAAGAAAGACACAGGAAGGGTGATTTGTGTATGCCTGGGATATGCAGTTCAGAGTATTATATATAGATTGATATCAAGGATTTGTCTGACAACTGTAGGTAAGTCTCTGCTCTCTCAGGGTCTAAGAAATGACGCAGTGGTGTTTAAAGGTCCCTTAAAACCGATTCTAGGACACGCGTTGTTCCTTGCCTTCTGTCTGTGCTCTCCCAGATCTGGCTTCAGTTGGCTAGTAGGATCAATGCAGTCAATGATGGTACTCCTGGACCTTCCAACTAGCACCTGCCTGGAGGCCAACAGTGATGCCTGGCCAGGTGTGTGGACAAGCGTGAGGTCCTGAATTACAGCTCAGCAGACCCACAGGCTGGTTATTGCCAGTAACTGACCAACTGGTCACCTGCAGCTAAGGATGCTCGTAATCCCGTAATCCCGTAATCCCGTAATCCCGTAATCCCAGGCCTGCCTCCCTGTCTCCCTCTCTCGTTCCTCCCTCACTCCTTTGTTGTTTTTCATTTCCAGTTACATTGTGCCCAGAGGCCTGTTAATATACACATATGTTAAAGCTCTAGCTAATTACACATGGTCTTTTTCTTTCTATTTCCATGTTTCCATATTTAAAAAAATTTTTAATAGAAAGCTTAAAATTCAGGAACCAAAGCGGTGATATAGTGACTGGTCCCTGACCTGTGTTCCTTGTTGGAAAGGACTACTGGCATTTGAGTAACAAAACTCTAACAAAACTCTCTTGTAGTGGATCATCTCAGTGTGAGGCTTTAGAATCTCCATCACTGGAGGACTGGTGGGAACCCCCCAAACCATTTATGACAATACCAAACACCCCACACACTGCAAGTGTGGATTGGCCTCTTAGGTTGAAATATTACTAAACTTGCATATGTAAATATTGGAGCACTTAACAGCACTTAAGATTCACCTTGCTTATAGGTTTAATTTATTGGATCTGTTGGATAATAGTGAATTAAATGCATGGGAAGATTTGTATGTTATCCAGCAACTGCGGCTCTTAAAAAGAAATTGTTGAAGTTACTAAATGTAGTTTAAAGTGTTTCATTAAACTTGTAAATGGGACCAAACATTAAAGAGGCCATTAAAAGTATTCTTTAAAAAAAACAAAATGAAACAAAACTCCTTTAGTTAGGGATACATATTGATGTCTTGACAGGTGAAATGAAATTTGCTTGAAGATGCCCCAACAGGGAAAATATAAAAATATGAGGGAACTAGATGAAATTAAATGGACAGAATGTTAGTAATTGTTGAAGTTAGGTGCTAGATATGTGAGGGTTATATAGTAGTCTCTCTATGTTTAAATATGTTTAAAATACCCAAGTAAAAAGTTCAAAAAAAGTGAATGTTAACATTTTCTCTAAAGAACTTTGAAGCTCACAGAATCCCTCATCTGCTCACGTTCTTCCTGTCTGGTAGAGACATATGCACCCCTTACAGATGATATCTGATTGGCTTCTGGCTATTTTTCATGCTTTTGTGTGATTCTTTGGTCACGGTTTTTGGGTTTTTCTGAGGGTAGGATTCATGACTCTGTGTCTTATGAACACACCTGCCTCTAGGAAGCCACCATTTGTAGCTGGTCACACACACACACACACACACACACACACACAATACTTGGTTAGCCCAAGAATAACCATGATGTTTACTTTACATTTGTCTCTGTGTCAGTCTGTATCTACATTTTCTGTTATTTTCCCTTAATGTTAAATACATGTTTGTTGAGGACATGATGCACGTTGCCTCAGGCATAATGATACATTGAAGGGTTTGCGTTCAGGAGTTTGACTGCCTGTGTGGCTTTGTGAGAATTACTAAACTTTCTAGTCCTCAATTTCCTCATTTGTAAAATGGACATGATTATGATACTGACCTCAGAGTTTGCAGTGAGGGTGAGTTAATGTATAGAAGAAAAAAAAGAAGTGTTCTATTATAAATATTAGCTACTATTCTTAGTCAAAAAGTTATTTATAACACTTTTTTAAAAAGATTTTACTTATTTATTTGAGAGAGAGAGAGATTGAGAGAATGAGTGGGAGGAGGGTCAGAGGGAGAAGCAGACTCCCCTCGGAGCAGGAAGCCCAATGTGGGACTCAATCTTAGGACCCTGGGATCATGACCTGAGCCGAAGGCAGATGCTTAACCGACTAAGCCACCCAGGCGCCCTGTAGCAATCTTCTTAAAAACAGTTTGCTCTCCCTCATTCTGAATTTAGAGCTGTCGTTTGAAGGCGTATTAACATAATGTTATCATATTAATGATATATTAATATGATAATATTATATTATTTGAAGATATATTAACCTAATATATTAAGATATTCTGTTCTGCAATTTTTTAAAAAAGATTTATTTATTTATTTTAGAGAGCAAGAGAGAGTGGGGGAGGAGGAGAGGGGGAGGGAGAGAGAAAATCTCAAGCAGACTCCCTGCTGGGTGCAGAGCCTGATGCAGGGCTCCATCTCATGACCCTGAGATCGTGACATGAGCCGAAATCAGGAGTCGGATGTTCAACCGGCTGAGCCACCCAGGTGCCCCTCTGTTCTGCAATTTTGAAATAGCTTTTTGTCCTGGTGTTTGGATTTTTAGTTTATACAAATATTTTACTCATCTTATCATACTCACTAATAAGCTAGAATTTCCTGGACTGTTTTAAAGCCTGGAGGGAAGAGTAGGGTTGCAAATAAATGCCTCCACATTCAAAGTCTGTAATTCATACTAGTTTGGCAGGTAATTGAAGCTCAGGCAGATCATCTCTCTTCTAATATCATTGATTTATTTTTGCAAATCTCAGATTCAAGTGCTAATGACAGTCTTTCAAAACTAATAATTCAGAGAGACAAGTTTTTATGTACTTAATGTACATCCTAGGAAGGTATAAAATGTTACAGTATGATTATAATTGTGTAGAAAATATCTGTGCATAAAAATTTCTGATAGAATTATCTCCAAATTATTAAGAGTTCTGTCACTCAAATCACAGAACTAAGGGCAACTCCTCTTTCTATTTGACATCTTGTATTTTCCAGATTTTCTTTCATAACTATTTTCTACTTTAAGAGGAACATATTGGCATATTATTCTTTCAAAGTTGCCTCTCTGGAGGGCTTTGTTTTCAAAGTTAATAAAGAATTTGGAATTTTTTTTAAAGCTTTTTGGTTGCATTCTGATAGATGGGAGTCCTTATTTCCTCACTGCACATGTGTGGTTATGCTACTATCCAAGGAAATCACCACTGGAGTCTTGCTTCACAGAGAATTTACTGAGTTGGATGTGATTCAAATACAATTAAGAATAATATATTAATGTGCTTAATATTATGTGTGTCTCAATCTCTTTATCTTTAAAATGAGGGGATGGGGCATGGCATTAACACAGAAGGGTTCTTCTAGCTGTAAAATGTACATTAAAAAATTTTTTCTAATACCTAGAATTTTTCCTAATGCATTTAAAAAAAAAATAGGTATTGGGATGACCTAGGGAAAGTGGCCATCTTTGTTAGGTCAAGCAGAACATTGTAGATCGTGTTTTGCCCTACATCAGAAGGAAGCTGGGACCCCTCTGTTTCTGAAGGTTCGGACTAGTATTTCGAAATAAAATGCAGAGCTAATGCTGAAGAAAAGTCTTTCCTTGCAATAAAGACTTTTATAAAGGAAATGATTTTTGAACTGCGATTCTAAACTGCGATGATTGTTTTCTTCTTGCAAAACAAAAGTAGATCAAGGAGTGGCTTGGGGGGGCCCTTCAGCTCAAAGCCGTTGTTTTTGGTGGGTGGATACCAGTGGACCCCATCAAATTCCTGGGGCAATGCACTGTGGTTTTGAAGTGACACATTTTATAAAATGTCTATCTTGTTTTACTCAGGTTATACTGGAGAGCTTTGCCAATCCAAGATTGATTATTGTATCCTAGATCCATGCAGAAATGGAGCAACGTGTGTTTCTAATCTCAGTGGATTCACCTGCCAGTGTCCAGAAGGTAAATATTATTGCCTGGGAATCCCTTTTGTTTTCCACTTTAAATCATAAACTACTTTGATCAGCGTTAAATTTCTGAAAAAATCCATACAAGAGAACCTCCTATTTTGTTAACAAAATGTTTGAATATTAGACATAATCTAGGAATTTCTGTGATTTTTACTTATACATTGAAAACTGAATAAATACAATACAATGAATAACTATAAGTTTTTTTTCTAAATTTCACGTTAAAATTTTCCAAATTTTACTTGTTTTTGATACCAGTTCACATAAAAAAATCTTTTTTTTTAAATTTTATTTATTTATTTGTCATAGAGAGAGAGAGAGAGAGCACAAGCAGGGGGAATGAGCAGAGGGAAAGAGAGAAGCAGATTCCCCACTGAGCAGGGAGCCTGATGTGGGACTCGATCCTAGGACCCTGGGATCATGACCTGAGCCGAAGGCGGACGCTTAACTGACTGAGCCACCCAGGCGTCCCACATAAAATATATTTCAACATAAAGTTCACCTGATTTTATTTTTAAATCAACTTTATACCATCTTAGAAACTTGAAAGCCACATCTTTTGAGCTACTTTTATTTTAAACTTTACTTTTAGAGTAGTTTGATCTGAAGGAATAGGCAGCTAATCATAGCTATCAAGCTAGTGTGCAAGGAATGATTTTGGGCTCAGAGGAAGTTCTCATTTCTGTGTGGAGGAATGTTATGGAAGTGATTACTTTAAACTTTAATGTTGTAAGAATAACCTGATATTAGAGGTATTTTCCCCTTAAAACCAGCATGTAAGCTGATCCACAGCAGTGACATTGATAACCACATTAAGTACAATGACGTCCTCTGCGGAGATTAAATGTGGAGTCTGAGCGTAAGGAAGCATCTCTGTCTGCCGCATTATCCTCCGCTGCCCCTGGCTGAGAGGCTGCAGGGGGCCAGTGAGCAGTTGCTAAAAGGCACTGACCTCCCAGGTGACCTGAGGGCTCCGGGTTGCCAGGAGCAGCACCTGCGCTCTGTAGCATCTCCTACTCTTTGATGTTTTGAAGACTCGAACTAAAGAAGCGAATCCTGTCTCCCAGCTTCTGCTCACCTGCTGGCGGGTATTAGCAGGAGGCGGTGGCCAGCCTACTTATCCCTGCACCCCCTTCCCCAAGTTGGCATGTGTTCCTGATGTATGCGGTTACCATGACAATGGAGTTCAATGTGCTTGATGAGCCCCCAGCTTTGACTCTCGCCTTGAGCCTCTGAAGCAAATGGGAGAACTTTGAAATGTTGGAAGGGTGGAGGGCTGAGCAAGCAGCACCCACGTCACTTGCAGATAGAGCATTTTGCAGATTTTTACAGCGTCACTAATTCATTGCTACCTAAGGGGTTAATTAGTTGCTACCTAAGTGGTTGTAGGCTGCGCTTAATGGGCAAGGGCGGGCTTCAGGGTCACCAGCTGATTGACCTTGGCAAATCATTAATCCCCACTCCCCCCCTCTTATCTTCCTAAATGTGGGCTACGGTGATACTGCAGACTTCACAGGGCCATTCTGGGTACAAATGGGATTTTTGTGAAAGAGCTTTGAAAACTCCAAATTGCTTATTTTTAGTTTTGATAGCCACCAGAAAGTTAAAATGAAGCTGCAGAGGCTCAAAGAGGTAGTGACTTACAAAAATCACACCACTGGTGCGCCTGGGTGGCTCAGTTAAGTGTCTGACTCTTGATTTTGGCTCAGGTCATGATCTCAGGGTCCTGAGATTGAGCACCATGTCGGGCTCTGCCCTCAGCGTGGAGCCTGCTTGGGATTCTCTCTCTCCCTCTGCCTCCCCACTTTCCTCTCTAAAACAAATAAATAAAAAAATTTTTTAGAAAGCTGAGTATTTAAAAAAAATCATCCCAGTAATAAAGGATGGCTCTTGAGGTAGGACCCGGGAGTTTTACTTTTGCTCCGTTTTTCTGGTGGATGAAGGTGGCCGAGGACTTCCTATTCTCCAGGCGCTGTGCTGGGTGCTGGGACTTAAGGGTTAGCAAAGCTGGGATGGCCCCTCCTGTGGTGCAGACACAGATAGGTACGTAATGACAACAGGACTGGGGCCTTGAAGGTGCACAGACGGAAACTGGTCAGTCTTGGGGAGCTGGGACTGCTGCCCACATGGGGAGACCCTGAGTGAAGACAGGGAGGAGGAGGGCGGAGCTGATGGTATCGCCAATGAGGGAAGACAAAGAGGAAGAAAGTGGGTGATGGGAAGGCTGAAGTGTGCCAGGCTTCACGGGGCTTTGTGGGCCGGGGTGGGACATTTCACTATCATCCTGAGTGGGGAGCCAGGGGCTTTGGTCTGGAGCCTGGCCCCGCCACTTACTCACCAGCCCCGTGTCATGGGCGAGTGAGCTCATACCTCTGTCTCACTTTCCTGGTTTGTAAATTGGGGAAATGATACTGCCCACTTAATAGTCGGGATGAAACAAGATGACTCAGGTAAAGTCCTTAGCACAGTGCCTGGTTATGTGCTTATTCCATATGAGCTGCTTCATCATTATTGTTTTCCTAATAACGGTTACTATTAAACCATGATGGATATAGACTGGAGAGAGACAAGCGTGGGAATAAGGAGAGAAGTTTGGGGATTGTTGCAGAAGTCCAGGGAATAGATGTGGACTGGTAGGAGGGGAAGGGTGGAGCTTGAGAGGTCAAAAGAGGGGGCCCGAGGTGGGTGGGTTATGGAGGGAGGGGGAGAGTAGGGCCGTCTCTCACTCTACAGTTGGTTGTGCCATTCATGGAGAAGAAGAAATGCAGAGGAGAGATGTTCTATTTTGGACGTGTTGAGTTTGAGGGGCCTTTGAGGCATCCAAGCAAGGATGTCAGTTGAGCAGTTGCTGTGTGAGTCTGGAGGTTGGGGCAGAAGTCTGGGCCAAGTCCAAATAAAGACACTTTAGCCCATCGATGGCAGTTTAAAGCTGGCCATCCGGAGGATTGTCTAGGGAACCTTCTCTTTTATCTGGTGGCCTGTCCATTCCTCCATGCTGTCTGGATAAAGCTGAGAGGAAAAGTGATGATCTGGACTTAGAAGGATGAAGACGGATTTCCCAGCAGTCTTTGCACAAAGACTTTTGTTCAGAAGTTTACCTTCCCTGAAGATGGACCAGGAAAAAGGGGCTTTAATTATAGTTCTGAAGGATTCATCGCCATGTTTTGGAGCCTCTTAGTGGGAGCGGAGGCTGGGCTGGCATTTTTAAAGCAGCCCCTCCCACTGACTTGCTCTTTCGGTGCTGGTTGTAGAAAATAATGTTTATAGAGCACTTTATTTAAAAAGCTTATGTCTCCAGGATCCTTCTCATTTCAGCCACATTGTGAAGACAAGTTTGGAAAGTGTCGCAAGTGCACAGAATGTTCTGGATTCTGAGCCAGCACTGGACACTTGCTGCCTTCTTTTATTTCTTTCTTTCCCTTTTTTTCCTCCAGTGATTAACATTTTGTCATGTTTGCTTTATATGTATGCATTTACATATATGGTCTGTGTCTTTGCGAAGTAATTTGAAAGTAAATGACAGACATCGTGCCCCTTCATCCCCAAATAAATCAGTTTGTGTTTTCTGAGAATCAGGACATTCTCCTTCATATGTTACTGTGCATCTAGAAAATGATCACATCTAAGAAAATTAGTAATGATTTCCGAATATTGCTTGCTGTGGCCCCTTTTTCATTTACACCTTTATATGCGTTAATTCTGTCTGTCCTGCTTCCCCGTGTTATCTTGTGAGGGTGGGAAATACCCTGCCCGTGGAGCACTTAGCTCCATAAAACATAAAAATGTTAGTAAGAGGTTCATAAAAATGTGTTTATAAAAGTCAACACTTAGGTATCACTCTGTCTGTCTCCCAGCTCATCTGACCCTCACAGCAATCCGATGAAGCAGATGCTATTAATATTTCCATTTAACAGATTGGGAAACCAAGGCACAAGAGATTAAATACCCTGCCTATGATCACATAGCGAGAAATTTAAACCCAGGCAACTTGGCACTGGCCTTCTTAACCATTGTCCCATACCATCTCTAAATACATCCTTTAAAATAAGTTCCATCCTGTTTATTTATTTTTAAAGATTTTATTTATTTATTTAAGAGAGAGAGAGAGCACGAGCAGGAGGAGCAGAGGGTGAGGGTCAAGCAGAATCCCCTGCTGAGCATGGAGCCCGATGCGGGACTCGATTCCAGGGCCTTGAGGTCATGACCTGAGCTGAAGCAGACACTTAACTGACTGAGTCACCCAGGCACCCCCTCCATCCTGTTTATTTTTAAAGATGCTCTTTTTAACCAGAGTCATAAGTAAAATAAATGAAAATTATCTTGGGTTCTAAAACTTCTAAATGTCCCTGCTAAAAATTCTTAAGTCTGGGAAAGGCTAGAAAAAATTTTTTCATATATATATTTAAATAAATTATATATATATATATATTCCTTTTTGTAAGTACAGTGAGATCCTTTTACAGCAATTCCCAATTCCTTCCCTGTCCAGAAAGCTGTTAAAACTAGGTTTTCCCTCTGGATAGTGCTTTCAACTCTGTGCGCTCATACGCTGGCTCTTTTCCACCTTTTTCATCTTCATTCCGTTTCCTTCAGGGATCCTTCTCCCTCCCATCTGGACCAAGTCCTTCGAGGTTGGAGTCCTTCCTGGGTATCTGTCTCTTTGACTCTCGCCTTCTTTTTTTTTTTAAAGATTTTATTTATTTATTTGAGAGAGAGAGAATGAGAGACAGAGAGCACGAGAGGGAAGAGGGTCAGAGGGAGAAGCAGACTCCCTGCTGAGCAGGGAGCCCGATGCGGGCCTCGATCCCGGGACTCCAGGATCATGACCTGAGCTGAAGGCAGTCGCTTAACCAACTGAGCCACCCAGGCGCCCTCTCGCCTTCTTTTTAACCTCTTTCCGAAAGTTCAAAGTCAGGCCTACTGGACGGCGCGCACGGTGATCGTTTAAGCTCTCCTTCTGGAAGTTGTCTGCTTTCCTCCTACACTTAGATT